TGAGAGAGAGAGAGAGAGAGAGAGAGAGAGAGAGAGAGAGAGAGAGAGAGAGAGAGAGAGAGAGAGAGAGGAGAGCCTGTGTCTGAGTGTCTCCAAAATTCCGGTATTTTTCTCATGACCAAGTATGTCCCTTGCGTATGTGATTGACGGTGGTAAATGCATTTGTTGTGGCGTCGAAATGTCAGTTCTATTTTCACAAGTAGTTCCCTTGCCTATGTGGTCTAGATCGGCAAGAAAATGCATTGAGCCTGTTATATTTCGGAAAACAACTGCCTGCATGTGAGCTACCGCATTCGTTGAGTAGAGAGAACAGCATGTGGATGCACAGCCTCACCCCCGTGGATGCAGTAGAGCGACGCCTACACATGCGCTTAGAATGGCGATACCTGATGTCAATGGGCGAGAAGGTACTGGCAATCAGGAAACGTGTCATTAGTAGGATACGACACACCGCTACAGACGAGAAAGGTACAATTTCGGTGTGACCTCTGCAAGCACGGCGGTCGATTTTACAATACCGGGCACTGTTCTTGATAGCACGCTGGGTGAGACAAGTGGCATAGTCAACGTGACTCCCACAAGGTCAATGGACCGGATTACGTCTAAAGAAAACAATGTGAACGTAATGCCCTTCCCCAATGAGTGGCTTGTTCTGAGAGGGTGGCGAGCGTAAGTTCATAAGACAGTCGTGAGGGTTCCGTAATCAAAGCATACGGTCGACCTCATCAAAGAGTGGTGCGTGCCTGCGATTGGGGGTGTGCGTGTTCACTTCTATTGACCCGTTCGTTTGTTTGTTTGTTTGTTTGTGTGTGTGTGTGTGCGCACGTACGTCTGTTTGCGTGTGGCTTCACTTTATGCGAACGTGATTGTTTGTTTATTTGTTTGTGTGTGTGTGTTTGTGCGTCTGAACGTGCGTGAATGTATGTGCATGTTTGTGTGTCTGAACGTGTGTGTGTGTGCGTGTTTGTGTGTCTGAATGTACGTGCGTGTTTGCTCGTCTGAACGTCTGAACGTGCGTGCGTGTGCGTGTTTGTGCGTCTGAATGTTGACAGCCCGTCAGGGTTGCGTACGTGCATGTTTGCTCGTCTGAACACGCGTGCGTGTGCGTGTTTGTGCTGAATGTTCGCAGTCCGTCATGCGTTTTCCCCCCCCAGACATTTCAACGTCACTCAAATTTCAACGTCCGTGGTTGTCGGGAGGGTGGGCATTTTGAGGTTTTGGGGCCTTGCAAGGGCCAGGACGTGGGCATTTTGAGGTTTGGGGCCTTGCAAGGGCCAGGACCGCGTAGGACCGATAGCTGCCCGTAAGGAGGCCGCGGTCCTTAAACCACCAGTACTTGGCCCAGCTATCAAGTCCGAGCCTCCAGTGACTGGTATGTCGAGTCTGCCAAGCCTGGCAGCACCAGTAGCTGGACGGGCCGAGGCTGGGGTGACCAGTTGGAAAACAAAAACAGCAAAACAAACAAATAAACAACAACGCTGTGGATGTGAATGCAGTTGGATGCATTCTCCTGAGCGCTAATGTGAGCACGTCGCAGTTTCCGTGGCCTTTCTGTCAGAATCCAAAAGTTAAATAAGGAAAACAAAAAATAAGGGGAAAAAAAACAAAGAAATGAATCTCAAAGGAGGAAAAAAAAATGAAACATGAATTTGGCCCTGAAATTAGTTAGATACATTTGTCTGTGTGCAAGTGTGAGCATGCCCTCAACGAGGGCTGTTCAGTAGATCCCGGGATATTTTTTTTATTATTTTTTTTGCCCTGCCGCGTTGGCAGGGGAATCTAAGAAAAATGGAAAAAAAAAAAAAAGCAGAAAAAATAGACATCCAAAATCTACCTGAAATACTACTTAGAAGCATTCCACCAAGAACAGAAGTGACCACAACCCCCGCCCAACTTAGAAAGTAGTTCTTTTTTTTTTTTTTGGTTCTTTCTTTTCTACGTCGCAATTCTCAGCGACCGGCCGTTCATGTGAACAACCCCCCTCAACTGCGGCGTGTTAACGGGACACGCCCGCGGCCCATAGCTGGGCCAAGTACTGGTGGTTTAAACCACCAACCACCAGTACACGGCCTCAGCCTTGCAGCAAAATAACTTGTCACCACAAGAAGTAAAAGGCGGGCTTGGGGCAAGGTCGGAGCGTCAGAAGGTTTTTGAGTTTTTGGGCCCATCTCAAATCCGTACGTCCCAAAAAACAAAACAAGCTTTGGCCGTGATTGCAGTTGGATACACTTTTTGGAGTACTCGTGTGAGTTTGCCCTCAGTGAGGGCACTTCAGCAGAACATAGAACACGGGGAGCAGGGGCCTGGACCCACTAGCGAAGTATTCTACGATGTGTGACGCAATTTTATGGCTTTTTGGACAAGACAAAGTGATTTTTTATTTTCGTGAATGGATCCTTTTCTGATTTAAAATGAATTGAAATGGCACATATAACAAAGAAGAACGGCTGTGCACCCAAATTCATGGGTTGGTACTATCTCCTTCACGTAAGTCTTCATAGTGATGTACCGTGGCAATAAAATGTGTCCGCGAACACAGCCACAAGGATGAACAAGTAACGGGTATGGGGATACATTCATCACCATGTATCTCATGAGGCCTCTAACAGGCCATCCGACAGACGCGGAGGCGTTCCTGTCAGATCCACCACAAAATTTGAATTTCACATTTCAAGTTCGATTTCTCAGAGCCAAAAAAAAAAAACGAAGTCTGGAAATCACCCCCCACCCTTTCGGGTCCATAAAATCCAGACTTCCCGCCCACGCAAAGCCCCGAGCTATCATGTCCAAGTCTGTTTTTCTTTTTTTTCGATGCATCTCATTGGACGGAGGTGAGCATCTTTACAGTCCCCGCTCGGAAACCACCAGGCCGTCGAGATCCAATGCATTCGACGGCCGTACTGCTTGAGGCCACACGTAATCGAAATCCTGAACGGAGTGGTAGAATACTTCGTGAATGGGTCCATGCCCCAGGACTGTCGGACTCTAAAAAAAAGAACAAAAACAAAAAAAGCCTTTGGCCGTGATTGCAGTTGGATACACCTTTTGGAGTACTCGTGCGAGTTTGCCCTCAGTGAGGGCACTTCAGCAGAACATAGAACACGGGACAGGACTGTCGGACTCTCAAAAAAAGAACAAAAAAGAAAAAAGCCAACAACTCTTTGGCCATGAAAGAGGTTGGATGCATTTCAACGTCGCTAGTGTGAGTATTCCCTCCGCGAGGGTGCGAGGGCGTTTTGAGCAAGAGGAATATGCACTGCCTTGCTGGCAGGGCTAGGAAGAAAAACACAAAACGAGAAAAAAAGGAAAAACAGCAACGTTTCCCTCTCCCCAAAATAGTGGTCAGATGCATTCAGGAAAGTGATCATTTTCGTATGGCCTCCATGACTTCCTTTCACGACATCATTGCTCTCTGGCATGTTTGTTCCTTTCTTTTCTTTTTTTTTCTTGTTTCCTTTCAGGCAGACCACCGGCACCAGTGCCACTTCCGAAATTCCCAATGAAGGTACCCTCACGCAGAAGGCTCGGAAAATAGTGGCGCGCAGTGGGCAGGTAGGTTCGGGATTTTAGTAGTGGGTGTACTGGTGGTTTAAGCCTTTTTCAAAATTGAAACGGCGCGGGTCCACTTCTTTGGGATTTTAGTAGTGGGTGT